GAACCCTCTGGTCCTGGTTCCCCCGGGGACTCCAACCCAGAACCCTCTGGTCCTGGTTCCCCCGGGGACTCCAACCCAGAACCCTCCGGCTATGAGGCCGTCACCCTAATCCAGCCGTTTCCCCCGTCCGTCTTTAGCCTTTAACCCCTCGGCTTCCCGTTATTCTACTTTGCGTGTTGTTATGGTAGAGAGCAGGAGCCCCTCCCACCTCCACAAAGTTCCCAGAGTACACCTCTTCCAGTGTGACCTCCAGGTCCAGGATGATGTCGTTTCCTCTGGGGATGTTCCGGTCCTGCTGCTGCCTGTTGCCTCCGAACATGAAGCCAAAGTCACCAAAGAAGCTTCAGAAAGAGAGAGAAAATAAAGATCAGAGCCAGAAACCGCAGTTTAATCTGATATTCGGCCCCTCTGGGTCAGACCAGACCCCTCCGGTCCCTCAGGGATCTTCTCAGAGGACCCCGTTTTTAGCCTAGAAGTCTGAGTCTGATTCAGTTCAGACGAGACTTGGGAAGAAATATGTACGGAGTCACACCTCGTCACAAATTCAAACACCTGGCGAGAATTCAAATGGAAAGTTGTGACTAGATTCTTTAGAACAGCAGCTATAATCGGCTAAAATGGGACCGACATACCCAGGATTATGTTGGAGAAAATGTGGAACTGATAATGCTAATCACACACACATATTTTGACAATGCCCCAAATTAAATCAGTTTTGGAAAGACATTTTTGATGCCCTAAAGGTAATCTTCAAACAGGAAATCCCATCCAATATAGTCATTGCCTTATTGGGAGTAACACCTAAAACTATCGCTACACAAGATCGAAAATATATTTTGAATATATTATTAAGAGCGGCTCTAAAATGCATAACTATCAGATGGCTCAAACCTGAGCCTCCTTGCTACAATATATGGATCCAGAAGGTCTGGGATATATACCAAATGGAACATATAACATATTCTCTGAGACTACAAACACCCATATTCACTAAACGTCGGAGACCTGTCGTTCCACTAATTATGCAATAAGGTTTTT